CGTCTGGCTTCGCTTCCCTTCGGAGTGCGTCACCCCTGCGTCTTCCAGGCCCTGGGCTCCACCGCGTCCCCCCGGCAGCGCCTGGGACCGGGACCCGCGGCGGAGAGCCGGGACGCCCGGAGCCGGCCCCGCCCTCGGCGCCATTGGCCGGTGGCGGCGTCTGTCACGTGTCCTCGGCACTTACGGCCCGCCCCCTAGTCCGGAAGTGGGCCGGACCTCGGCCGGAAGTCGGCGGGCCGAGCGGAAGCGGCGGGGTCCCGGTCCTCCCCGGTTGCGCCACGTCCGCTGAGGCGGTGGCGGGGCCGCTGGCGGGGCCGGGGGCGGGCGCCATGGCGGACTGGGCGCGGGGTGAGCGGCGGGGAGGGGTCGAGGGGCCCCTCGCGTGCCCCGGAGCCCCTGGTCTCCCCGGGAGGGGCGGCAGGAGCCGAGGGCGGGCGGCGGGATGCTGACAGCCCCGCCTCGGCCTTCGTGCGCGCCCGGGCCCGCCATCGGGGCGCCCGGCCCGCCGCACGTCCGCGCCCCGAGTCCGGGCGGTGGCCGACGGTCGGGGTCGCCCCGGGGCCGCGCGGGGTGCGGGGGCCTCGGGCCTGCGCTGCTCAGCCTTGGCTGCCGGCCGACCTGCGGGGCCGCCGCGCCCCCGCCAGTGCTGCTCCGAGCGGCCCCGTCGGGTGACTGCCTCCCAGCGCGGGCCCACCCCGGGCGCTGTCCTCCGCGGGCTGTCCCCCCCCCCCCCGGCCCCGGCCCTTGGCTTGTACGCAGGACGGAGGGAGCCCCGGGGCAGCGCGGGGGCCGAGCAGGGGCCGCGGCCCCTCACCGGGGCCTCCGCGCCCGCGGTCCTAGGCTCAGACTGTCCCTTCTCACAGCCCAGAGCCCCGCGGCCGTGGAGGAGATCCTAGACCGGGAGAACAAGCGGATGGCCGACAGCTTGGCCTCCAAGGTCACCAGGCTCAAGTCGGTCAGTGCGGTCCTCCCTGCGAGCGGGGACAGGAGGGCAGAGGCTGGGGAGGGTCCGGGCTTCCTCGGGGCGCTGGTGTCTGAGGCCCCGGGAGGCCCGGCCTGATCCCGCCGGCGGGTGTTGGCGGGTCCGCTGGCCTCGCGGGCGGGGGGCGGCGCCCACCGAGTCTTTCTGGCCTGACCTTGCCCCCCCCCCCCGTGTTCTGAGCAGCTGGCCCTGGACATCGACAGGGATGCAGAAGACCAGAACCGGTACCTGGACAGCATGGTAAGGGGCTCCGTCGGCGCGGGGCGCGGGCCGCTCGGGCAGGCCCTGGTGGCGCTGCGGCACCCGCGTGGCAGTCGTGGAGGCGCCGCCCTGTGTGACCTTGCTGGGATTCCTCCCTCAGGACTCGGATTTCACTAGCATGACAGGCCTGCTCACGGGGAGCGTGAAGCGCTTTTCCACCATGGCGAGGTCCGGGCGAGACAACCGGAAGCTTCTGTGTGGCATGGCCCTGGGCCTGATCGTGGTCTTCTTCATCCTCTCCTATCTTCTGTCAAGGGCAAGGACGTGAGCCACCAGAAGGCGACTTCTGTGGGTGCGGGGGCAACCAGGGTCTTCCCCCGCCTGGTGGCCTAGGCTCCAGAGGACCTACCTGCAAAATACTCCTTTGAAAGGGGGATCCCGGCCTGGGAGTTTTCTTGCTGTGTGCCTGGGAGTTCACGGCTGCCTGTGCCCAAGTGAGCTCCTGTTGGCTGGTCCCATGCGAGTGCGGCTCCTTCCCTTGGGGACACCAAGCCTCAGCCCCTGTGCTACTCGGGGTGTGGAGGCCCTGGCAGAGCTGGGTGTGAATCCTCGACGAGGCCACCTGTGGCCAGCAGCCCTTCCTTGTCCCCTGGGGCTTCGACGTCTTGAGGATCTGGGTAAGGCCAGGTCCGATACGTGAGCAGCCTGGAGCTGACACATGAAGGGGGTTCGGTTATGAACTTTGAGCACCATCTGCTCTGTTCAGAGAGGCAGCTACTCGGCTAGGGCTGCTCAGTATGGGCAGGTCCGCGCCAGGGGTTCCGCCCCGAGGTCACGTCTGCCCCCCAGACCCTCGGAGAAGGGCAGGGGGTTGTGGATGAAGAAGTGGACTTCAACCTTGGCCAGAGGCACTGGGTCCTGATTCTTCTGGATCCACAGTCTTGTATTCAGGAGCAGGAACTCAGGATCTACCTAACACCAAAGACGTATTTCTGCGAGACCAGAGATTGGAGCTCTAGAAGGGTTTCTGTCTGTGTGTTTGGGGTGGGGGTGCAGCACCTCTGTGGTCAAGACGAGAGGGCTCCCTAACAATTTTTATAAGACCCAGGGGTCACTGGGCAGCTTCCCCTCCACCATGTGAGGCCTTTCAACAGTGAGTATCCCCTGACTAAGGGGACTCTTCATCATTGCCTCATCCCTGGCCTCTCCTTGAGCCCTCGCTGCCCGCTTGGCCAGCCCCATGTTCACATAAACCAAAGTGCAGGCCCAGCTGGGCATCCGCACCCTCGTATGTGCATAAAGACACATAAGATGATTTGCTAGCTGTGTCCTCCCCGGTTCCTTCCCCTATATTCCCATCCTCTGCCAGCCCAGTCGCTCCCCCTTCCTCCCAGAGGACACTTGGTTTGCTGTCCGCCCATTCCCCCCCTCATCCCGTGGGTAATCACACGTGCGCCAACCACACATCAGCTCCGTTCTCTGGCCCTGGGCGCCTCCCCTTAGCACTGCCACTGCTCTGTGTTCTTGCCTCCCTCCCCTCCCTTGCCCTTGTCCCTGCAGCAAGCCTGGCACGTGGTCATCATAGCTTCCTTGTCTTCTGCACAGCAGCTGTTGGGCTGCTCGGCCTCGTCTTCTGAGTGCCCCTAGCCTCCAGATGCTAGTTGCTCATCCAGGGAGGTCAGCTGACCTCCCTGCCTGTGGGGCTTTGCTGTGTCCCTGACTCGACGTTCCCTCTTGGGCCCCGTGGTCTTCCCTCCGCAGTCCCCGCGCACACACCATGGATCTGAGTTAGCCCTCTGGTTATCTCCTGCTACGTCTTGTCTTGCCACCAGGACACGTCCGCTGGTCACCAAGGTTAATGGAGCCTGCAGTGTCCATCTGGCCACACGGCAGGTGCACCCGTGGCCTGCGTCCCCCACCCCCCCCCCCTTTCCTTGGGCCTGTGCTGCTGACCTCTCCCTGAGAACATGCCTCAGCTGTGAGAGCCACACCAGACTACGGGGTCGATGTGGGCTGGTTTAGGTTTTGTGTTTCGGGTAGTCTTGACAAGTGCTTTCTGCTGTCCCCTCGAGACAGCTGCACCCTGTCCTGTCTCCCCACCTCCACTCCACAGCTCTGTGTGGCCCTTCCAGCTATTTGGGGTCTGAGTTTCAGTTCATTTCTGATTCACTGTCTTATTTCTCATTCTCGCATTGGGATGGATCCCAGGAAGGGGGCGTGGCAGCTCTGCTGCTGACCTGCCGGAGCTTTTGTCCTGCCTGAGACCACACCATTCAGGTTTACACACGGTTTACTGATGGTCCCTGAGACCCCTAAAACGACAAGGACCAGGGGCTCAGCCCGTGCCAAGTGAGGACACACTGCCAGGCTCTATCATCATTCAAGGACAAGGCACTTAACAATACACATTTGGAATAAACAGCTTCGTGATGAAGTAAACAGTCTTGCTGTTCTCATTTTCTTGGGCACTTGACGGTTTCATCTGGCGCTGATCCCGGACGGCAGGCTGGCTGTGGATACTGGTGGTCTGGGCCCCCGCTTCCCTCTGTCTCTGGTTCTGCTGTGTCCCTTCCTTGTGTGCCCCCCCCCAACACACACAGGTGGGTGGTCACAGGCTTGCCACTGTGTCAGCCAGGTTTCTGTAATCACCCCCCAGGGGTAAATGAGTAAATGTGAGGTGCTCAGAATACAGCCTCACGTGGTCCCAGGTCAGTGGGGTCAGTGGCTGTACTGAGCTCCATATGGCTATGGCTGATGGGCTCATGGGGACAACAGTGGGGCCTCCCCTCCCCCCCTGCAGTCTGCACGCACCCTCTCTCTGGAAATGAGGTGAGATCCACACTCCACTCCTCAAAGGCCTGGCCTCAGACTCCCTGCAGCCTCTAGAAACAGCAGTCCTTGGCCTCACTTGGGAGGCCCTTTCCTGGCCCACATCCTCGAGCTCCCCGTGTTGCCTTTGCTGTGTGACAGATCACTTTAGATGTAGTCACAATTAAAGTAATAATTTACATGTTAGGATTGATGTGGTTGGAATTTGAGTACAGTGTGGTGGGGACTGCTGTCTGTCTAGAACTTTAGGCCTCGGCCGTCAGACCTGAGCCTTCGGCTGCTGTCACCTAAACCCATGCTCGTGAGCCTGCTGGTTGACGCTGGCGTGGCCTTGTTGAGTGTCATGCTCACACCACGGTGGCTGGTGCTGGAGTGAGCAGAGGGGGGGCTGCCTAGCTGCACAGAGGAGCTGGTTCCCCTGTATGCTGTATGGCCTGGGCTCAGAGGCCACGCAGTATCGCTTTCCCGAGGGTGGCCCCGGGTTCTCGTCCAGATTCCAGGGTGAGTCTCACGCAGGGAGACGACCATGTGGAAGGGGACAGATGCTGGCGTGACTGTCCCTGGAGTGTACAACGAAATGGGAAGTGCGGGGCCCAGGGTGGAAATAGGAGGGCGGGCATGGCAGGGCATCCAGGGGTGCCGTGCCCTCCTCTCCACTCGGACCCCAGGCCGTGGAGGCCAGGATAGGACCCAACAACTAGGCAGGGGGCTCCTTTCTGGAAAAGCTTGATTGCGCTGCCAGGACAAACCTGTTACTGTGAAATCTGATTTATTAAATATCTGAGCACAGCAGGAAAGAAGATTAGCACATGCGAAAGCAGAGTAGAAAAAATAACCGGTCCCCATTGTCCAAGTGTGTCCCGCCCTGCAGCTCGGGCGGCCACAGCCCAGCCACGCAGGGGGTGCCGCGGCCTCTGGGGCCCACCCCGGCCTCTGCTGTTGCGGGAGCCGGACGTGCGGAGGCTCTGGGTGCCGGGCTTGGCCGGGGCTACTCCACGTCCACCACCAGGGGCGTCATGTAGTCGGAATGTTTGATGCCGAAGGTGACGACGGGGGCGCTTGGCTTGGTCATTGTCACCTGGGAGCGGGAGGCCGTGAGAAGAGCCGGCTCCCCTCCCGCCCCCGATGCACTGCCCTCCCTGGAGCCAGAGCCGCTGCCAGGAGCTTTGCTGTCGCTCCTGAGGCTGTGCCAGGGGGACCAGAGCGAGACCACACTGCCAGGTTTGCACACAGGCCGGCGTGCACAAGCGCTCAGCCCACGAACACTCACTGGTTTCTGGGGAGGCAGGCCTGCCACCGGGGGTGCTTGGCCCCTGGGACCCTCACAGGCCCTTCCCCACCACACCCACTCTGCATGGTGCCCCTACTCCGCCCTGCACCCCCACCTCCTCGGGGCCGTGTCACCCCCATCCCCACTCCCTCCCTACTGTACCCCCCCACCCCTCTGGGCCCTGCTCTTCCTAGACCTTCTCAGGACTGTGGGCTCCTGGTCCTGGCTTGAGGGTCTTGTCCCCTGGGGGCTCCACCCGGGCTGCCATGGTGTACCGTGGAGCCTTGAGCTTTGTCACCTGCACATCCGTCTGGCGGTAGGCCGCAGGACCTGGGGTCTAGGAGGCGAAAGAGGCTCAGACAGCCTCAGCCTGCCAGGGCGTAGGACCCCAAAGGGTAGGGGGCCAGCATCGGGCCGTGGGTGTCGAGCCTGGGTCACTGTGTGTCTGTGTCAGGGGTCCCCCTTTTGTCTCTAGACAGCAGTCACACTGTGGGGATGACCTCTGTGTGGGACATGGCCCTTCTATAGCAGCACCGCCGTGGCAGTGACACCCCAGTTTGCACCAGTCCCAGGCTTGTCCCTTTGGTGTGTGCTAGAGAGGCCCCTCTCCAGCTGGGACTCTGTCCTGTGGGACTTGATGGCCATGGGCTGGGCTGGCGAGCTCAGCAGTGCTGTGATGGCACCTTGGGACTCTCCCCAGGCTCCTCAAGTTCCCGTGCACATGCCCACCTCAGGGCCTTTGCACCTGCAGCTGGAACCCCCCCTCCCCCAGGCAGCTCACAGCTTTTCTTTCTCTTTCCATATTACTTGGTGCCACCTTATCAAAGGCTGCCCCTTGTCCTCTCCACAGCACACTGCAAACCCCTTCCATGGTCAAGCCTTCTCAGCACTGTGGTCATGGTCATCTGTGCCCTTATCCATTGCCTTCTTCACCCTAGACTGTAACCTTGCTGGGGGCGGGGCATAGATACCCAGAGGACGGACAGTTGATGGGCTTCAGTCTGGTGGGAGCAGGGTCTGGGGGAAGGGCCAGAGGACTACCTCTGGGGGTTGAGCAGTGCTGTGCCCTGGCAGGGGTGTGTGTGTGGGGGGGGGGCTTGCCTTGTGTAGGTCATCACTGAAGCTGCCCAGCTTGCTGCGACCCTTGATGGAGAAGGAGGGCTGGGAGGCCTTGCCGACAGTGTGGGGCCCCATTACCACAGGCAGCATATAGGCGGCGGGGCCTGCGGGGAGCACAGGCCCTGAGTGTCTGGCTGGACAGAGTGCTGCCTCCAGGGCCTCAGATGGCTCCTTCCCCGGGGGCCTCCACTTCCAGGGGTGCAGCCACCAGGCCGCCCAGCCTCCCCACCCTCCCCCACCACCCCGGCTGGGACCCCCAAGCGGTCTGATGTTGGCTGACAGAACGGCTGCACACCTGGGGTGCTGTCCACTCGGAAGGTCTTGGTGCGGGCGGAAATGGAGTGGCTGGGAGCAGAGTCAAACACGTGCTTGGTAGATTTCTCTGGAAAGTAGTCACCTGGCTCGGGAAAGGAGTGCAGGGAGTGCTGGGAGGGAAAGGACCTTGCGACGGGCTCCTGGCCCTGCCCGGGGAGGGGAACACCTCTAACACCGCGGGGCTCCCAGGCCCCAATACCTTGGTCAAGGGGTGTCCAGGGGCTGCGGGGGTTGGGGAGATAGATGCAGCTGTGGAGCAGGAGGTCGCAGGCTCTGATGTGGGCCTCGTGAGGAAAATGAGGGGCTAGGAGGCCCAGCATGCCTGTATCCCTCCCACCTCATCCCAGCAGGACACACTGTGCTCGTCAACAGGGCTGGGCAGGGCTGCAGGCAGATCGGAGTGACTTACCGGGGCCAGGAGTCATGATGGTCTTGGTGCAATAGCGCCCCAGGATGGAGTAGGCGGGGCCGAGGTCCTTGCCCGTCCTCAGTATCTTGGGGTTCACACTGTAGCGAGGCCCTGGGGAGCAGTTCTCTGCCAGGAGCATGGGAGCCCCACGGAAACTATAGGCTGGTGCACGGAGCTTGGTGGGAGTGTGCTTCATAAAGCCTGTGGGACAGGGTCTATGAGCGACCTGGAGCCAGACACCATCCTCCAACCCCCAATGGCCCCACAGGGGTTCAAGGGCTGGGAGTCAGGGGTGAGCCCCCAGGCCCACCCCACACACCCATCTCTCAGGTCCCCACACATTGTCTAAACTCTCCCCAGGCCTGTCCCAGATCCCCCCGGACCTTCCCCAGACCCATCCCAGACTCCCAGGGCCACCCCACGCCCCCCTCGACCCTCCTCAGTGTCCCAGCCTCCCACCCCCAGACCTTCCCCAGACCCTTCCCAGGCCTACCCGAGCCCCGGCTTCTGCCCCTAAGATCCCAGGCGCTTACCCGTGGTGGGTGGAATCAGGTATTTGGGTCCTGGGCTGCTGTAGAGGGCCATAATGGGCCCCCGGGGGCGATGGGGCCTCCACGTGCCCACCCATACTTCCTCCACCATGGCTGGCTCTGTCCATGGACGGGAGGGTGACCAGGTGGCGGGAAGATCAAACTCACACCCCCCCCACTTTGTCTGCAGTGATGGGCAGGACCTCAGGCCACAGCCTCCTCAGTGAGGTCTTGACCTGGGGTCCAGACTTCCAGAACATCTGCCCGGAGTAGTGGGCTTGCTCTGCCCTCACCAACCCCCAGGAGGAGGAGCGCCAGCCCTTTGCTGTGCACAAGCCCAGAAGGGCCGCCTCTCCCAGCCCTCACCGAACACCCCTCCCTGGCTCTCAGGGGGCTCTGGGCAGGTACCTCCCACTCAGAGGACCCCAGCCACTGCTGGGCAAGGGGCAGCGGGCACAAATGGGAAATGTCTGGCTGAGACTGCGCCATGGTCGGGGGGGCAGGCTGCCCCAGGGGGACACTCACTTCTCTGGTGCAGGAGCTGTGCTCAGAGCAACCTACAGACCAAGCCTCCTCAGAGGTGGTCCCGTCGTGCTGGCCCCAGTGCCAGGGGGTTCTCGAAAAAGGGGCATGGAGAGGAAGGCTTCTTCCTCTCTCTCCTCTCCCCAAGGGGCTTGGAGAATTGGGGAGGGGTCCTAGCCTCCAAGCTCTAGAATGTGGCTCTGTGGGCAGCAGGTTCTAGATCACTATCTGTGTGCTGGAGACAATGGCCTCTGCCTGGAACCCCTCCTCACCAGGCTTTGGGACTTTGCTCTGCTCCCCATTGCGATGGGCGGGGCAGAGGCTCTGAGGGCTGGAGAAGGGACAGCAAGGTTCTGAGCTGGACGAGGAAGCCATGGGGCCCAGACCTGGAGTGGTGGGGAGTGAAGCTGCGAGGGACAGAGATGGACCTAGGCAGCCCCGCCTCCAGGGAAGGCCACTGACCTGGGGGAGCTGAGGCTCCGGTAGTTGGGACCCTGGGATCCAAGGTGAGGGTAGGATTGGCGCTGGCTGGGGAGTTGCGGTGGGCGGCTGCTGCCTCCTGTGGAACCTTTCTCAGACCCTGATCTTCCTCCCTTGACACTGCTGGCCATGCCCACCCCTGGGGGCATGAGTGTTCTCAAGAGCAAGTGTGCTTTCTTCTTGACTCTGTCAAGGTTCCTCTTGGGGCTACGGAGCAGGTCAGCATTACTTCCAGGTAGACTCTTGGGTACCTTTGGGGAGATGGCTTCCAACCCCTGGCCCTGTGCCACGTGCATATCATGTATGTTTATCACCTTGGAAGGACAGCCTTCAGACAGAGCGCCCACCCTGACCTCCCAGTCCTGGCTGGGTCCTCCCCCAGGGGTTTTTCCCCTCCCTGCACTGAGGCACTGCTCTGCTTCCCCCAGTGTCTCCGCAGACCTTCCTGGGTCTACCCACCCGCCTGTCTGTCTGTCTTGCTCTATCTTCACGGGGGTCTGGCGGGTCTGCCCTCTGCGTGGGGCTACTTCTACGTGCAGGCTCTGTGGATGGGACCCTGTGCATGCAGGTGAGCCCCGAGTGTGCGGAGAGACAGCAGCCAGAGCCTGATCTGCAGGAGGCTTTATTGACTGAATAGTTTTTCGGATAAGTTCACGCACAGGAAAGTGGTGATGGGGTGACGTGGCCGTGGCTGATTGTGTAGCTGGTCCTGTGGCCGCCTGGAGCCATGACTGGGGTTTGTTAGGCTTCATCTTCACTGCCCAGCACTTGCACCTGGAAGGCAGACAGGTGTAGGCCAAGGGGGCTGGGGGTCCCATCGCTGGTGATCAATAACTAGAAAGCCCCATCTCCATTGGACAGATAGGCCCAGGCCAGCCCCTGGGGAATAGTAGGCTCTGGCAGTTTTTGGCCAGTCCCCCCCAGCAGCTGGGGAAAGGGTGTGTGCGCCCGTGTGGATGTGTGCGTGTTCTTGTACACAGATGTTTCTGTGCATGTATGTGCGTGTAGGGGAGGCTGGGGGTGATTGTGGGGAGCGAGGTCTGGGATGTCCACTTCTGACGGTGCCGGGTCAGGGTATCTGTAGGGGTGGTGGGCTACATTGGGGGCATAATCGGGAGCCATGGCATTTGGTGGAAGGCCAGTAGGGCAGGGTGGTGGGTTCTGCTGCGGCTGCAGGCTTTTAGGGAATTGGGTTACCCTCCCCCCACCCCGGCCGCAGCCCCGGTACCAGTAGCTTGACCAGCTCCGCCTTGTGCATGGGCTGTAGGCCGTCTATGCAGGACTTGAGCTCAGTCAGCGCCGCTTTGGCATCTGCATTGACGTCGTACTTGCCCAGGGGCCCCTCGTACAGCTCCTCTGGGGACCCCACCAGCAGCGTTTGCAGGAAGTCCATGAAAAACTCACTGCTGTCCTCGTCAGAGGCCAGCCCTTTGTGGCAGGGGTGGGATGACACCAGGACAGTAGGATTGCCTCCTAGCCCGTCACTCCAAACCTCCCAGCACTCCAGCCCCCGCAATGACCACCCGCCTCCTCCCCCAACTCTACACGCCCACAGACCCCTCCTGTCACTCCTGATCTCATCTGCCTCACTCCACCCTTGGTTCCCCCAGCGTCACCAGGGAAGCCTCGGCTGGAGTTTTCCCACATAAGGTCGGCTGACCCACAGCTTGGAGGGTTGGGGTCCGACTGGGCTGGCTTGGTGACATCGGTGATGCTAGGGCTGGGGCAGAGGCTGGCGCTGGGCTGGGTGGGGGTGGGGCTTTGTGGGGAGTGCGGTTGGCGGGGGGGTCAGGGTCGGTGCCCACATCTGCGTTCTCTGACGGAGGCCAGTTGGGGACCTGGCATGGCAAGGCTGCTGCCCATCGCTGTGAAGGGCCTAGTGCCTAGGTTTGCAGCTGCCCAGGTCCCCATCCACCCCCCATACAGGGCCCCTGGGTGCTGGGAGCACTCAGACTCACCGCAGGAGCAGAGCAAGGAGAGGGCCACCACCAGGAGGGTGCTGCTTCCCTTCATGGTAGACGGCAGAGGTCTCTCAGGAGCTGCCTCTGCCGGCTTTATGCCTCACAGGTGGCATCTGGCCTGGGGGTGGCCCCAACCTGCCCGTCAAGACTTTGGCAGTGAGAGTGAAGGTTGGGCAGCTGGGGGTGTGTCCTCACCCTGGGCTCACATGGGTGTCGAGCAGCAGCAGGCTTGGGTGCCGTGTGAGGGGTGGTGTGCATGTGGTTTGGGGTTCAGGTGACGTGGGAGAGGGTGAGATGTGGGGTCGGTGGGGCCAGAACACCACGGGGCTCTGGCCAGGCCTGGTTTGTGATTGAGAGTGGTAGTCTCTGGGGTTGGGCTCAGGCCTTTCTCTTGAGTGTGTGGGGGATCCCCCCCCTCTGCTCAACAGGCCTGAGGCTCTCCACCAGGCCAGGGGTAGGGGCTCCCCGGTCCTGTGGATCTGGGTAGTGGGAGGTGGGCCCAGGGCTGCAGGAGGCCCCAGTGGACATTAGGGTCCAGGGGGTGGAGGTGGGCCTCAGAGAGACTGAGGTGCCCCACCCCCCCGGGCCTGGTGGGATTATCCCACCACCACAGGAAGCGAGGAGGGGCCACAGTCTGAGACACAGCTTCCCACCCCGGCGAGGTCAGCCCTGGGAAGTCTAGGATGTGGCGCAGATGTTAGCACGGAGCCGGGGAGGGGGGTTGAGACACCTGCGTGTGTCCCCCGGTGACCTGCCCAGGAGCAGCCAGTCCTGTCCCCTGCTGCCACCTGGTGGCCAGAGGTGTCCTCAGGGTACTCCTGGGGATGCAGAGCTTCAGCCCTTGACTAGCTTTGGGGCAGGTCCCTGTCTTCCCCAAACCACTCTGGCTTGATTACTATGGTGCCTTTGTCACCCTCTGTCACCCTGTTCCTCACCTGCCTCTGCTGGGGAGTCTTTGCCAAGCCAACCCGTGTCCTGAGCGCTCCCGACACAGCTTCTCCCAGCTCAGGTGCCTGCTGACAAGTATCCTGCGGGAAGAGCCAGGCTCCTCTATCCCGCCATACACGGAACTCGCGGGGGAAGGACAGATGCCGTGTGCGGGGATCACCTGTAACGGGACAGTGCGGCTGAGTCTGTGGGACTAGCTAAGGCCCCTGGAGCTGCTGTCCCCGAAGAGCCCAGGGATCGTGGGTTCCGGGACGGCTGTGGGCGCCACCTGCCCTCCGAGGCCCATCACCCTCTGCATTTAATTAGATTATTGAAGTGTGTTTGGCACAAAGTGTCACGTTAGCTTCCGGAGTGGAACTCAGGGCGGCGCGCTCTTGTCCCCGGGCTGTTGCCTGGGCTGTGCCTGCCACCGCCCTTTATTCACTGGTCTCTGCTGCCTGCTGCGTCCCCAGGGGCAGATGCAGAGCAGCCAGGGCTCCAGCGTGGCCCAGAGGCAGCGTCCCTGGGGCCAGAGCCTGGCTAGCTGTCCTGACTCCCCCAGGGGATTCCGACAGTCGGGCCGGCCCAGGGGAGACAGCCTGCCCAGCTGTCCCTTGTCTTCGCTATCTTCCGCCCACATCTCCAGAGTGTGGTCGCTGCTGGAGGTGGACTGGGCGCCCCTTGGCTGCGCTGGGGCTGGGGCTTCTCTTCTTCTCCAGACTCCGGCCCTGGAAGCGCAAGCTGGCAGCCGAGGCCCTGCAGCCTTCCCGGGGGGCACTGGCCGGCTACAGCCACTCTAACCCCCATCCCGGCCGGCGACTCAGTCCTCCTCCTCCCGGGACCCTGCTGACCGGTCATGGTGACTTTGCTGGCACGGACCGAATCCACCGAGCTCTCACCCCTGCCCTGGCCACCTCGCTGTCCCCTCCTCTGGGCCGCACTGAGGGCTGCTTCCCGGTCCCCGCAGCACCCATAGCTCTGCTGCTCGGCGGGTGTTCGGGGAGCACCCGGCTGACCTTCACAGTCCCCACGCACTTCCAGGCCCTGCTTTAGGGCACCGTCATGACGACGCGCCCCTCCCCTGCTGTCGCTTCCTGCCCCAGGTGGGTGACCCACCAGTCTCCTTGCACCTGCCCCCTCAGCCCACCTCACATGCAGAACTCACCTTGGGTGGGTCCTCACTGCTGCCCGTGGCTTCCAGGCCTCCAGGGTGGGCGTCCTCACATCCTTTGAGGTGGTCACTAATCACACCGCCACTCTCACCTTACCTTCTGGGCCTTAGCTCTCGTTTCACCGAGAAACTGAAGAAATCAGAAGAAAAACTATACACGGTCACAACACTAATCCACAAGCGTGCCCGCCTTCACAGGCATGTATTCGTGTGTCCTCGTGTTCTGTGAGAGGACCTGTTTTCCAACACACCAAGGGCAATGCTGCTCCTGCCGCTTCTCCCCGAGGGAAGCCTCTTTCTGCAACATTAGAATGTATTTCTAGTGCATCATCCCTATCAGTGTGCATTTGTGCTGTAACATCACCCGACTTCAAGCAAAATGCAGCAAAACACAAACGCCCCCTGGACACTGGTGATGCCCACCCCCCCTTGGCTGTTCAGACTCTCACCACACTGCTGCAGATCCTGCTCAGTGCTCTGGGAGGATCCTGGCCTTCTGTTTGTTTGTTTTAAGGATTTTATTTATTCCTGAGAGACACAGAGAGAGGCAGAGACACAGGCAGAGGGAGAAGCAGGCTCCTCACCAGGAGCGGGATGTGGGACTCGATCCCAGATCCCAGGAGCCCAGGGTCACACCCTGAGCTGAAGACAGATGCTCAACTGCTGAGCCCCCCAGGCATCCCTGGCTTTCTGTTTTCTGATTGCGTTGGCTAACGATGAGAGGCAGCTATGTTCAGCATTTGTTGACTTTATAGGGATGGATCTTTATTTGATCCATCCCTATAAATTATATTCAAAACATTCTACCAAACAACCGACATTCTATTCATTCCTAAGGTGTTTGGTTACAATTTTCACAGATGTGCAGATACTAAGATAATCTTTGTTAATTATGGAATTCATTATCACAATCTCGTGATGTTACTGAGCTGGGGCCACCATGGCTCACAGAAACCCTAGGTGCTCATCTGCAGTAAAACATTCTCAGCTGGACTCCTCCCCTTGAGAATTGTCCTGGTTAAAAATCCACCAGCATTTGCTTATGACATGACGAGCTTCTGTAGGATACACAATAAAGAGGATAATCTGAAATCTATTACATCAGTTGTTATGCGAGCCACAATTTTACCGCCTCCCTGAGCACACTGCTTGGGTCAGCTGACATTTTTCAGGAGAGGCATGGTCATTAGGGAAAGCAAGCCGTTGCTTGAGGTCCTGGTGCTCACTCTGGGAGGCTGCTCCACAGCCGCCTTCTCATTGCAGCTAGGCCATCAGGACACAACACACAGTCGGTCTCCAAACTACATCAGTTGGCAACGTAGCTGTGTGTGGTTTCATATATGGTTTAGACTCACAATTCTGTCAGCAATGAAGCAAAAAACAAATTTCTCATTTTGCATCATCAGTGTATTCAGATCACGCATATCCATGTCATTTGTAAATGGATTCATCAGGTTATGATGAAAAATATTCTGGTACTTTGATTTGTTCTGAATTGGACTTTTGTTTCATTAACCAGCTCCTTGCTATGCTGGGCACCTTCCCAGGGTGTCTGTTGACCAGCCGATCCTAAAGCACATCTGGGCCCTGGTCCTGAGGCAGCTGCCTGCACACAAGTTCTCCTTCCCGGTGGGCTACATTGAGACTCCGCTGTCCCACTGTTACAGGTGTCCTGTCCACCTGCACCTCCAAACTGTGTCCTCTGCAGTTGTGTATAAGTACATTTAAGACAATCACCTTGAGGATCCCTGGGTGGCTCAGTGGTTTAGCGCTGCCTTCAGCCCATGGCATGATCCTGGAGAGTCGGGATCAAGTCCCACGTCAGGCTCCCTGCATGGAGCCTGCTTCTCCCTCTGCCTGTGTCTCTGCCTCTCTCTGTGTCTCTCATGAATAAATAAATAAAATCTTAAAAAAAAAAAAAAGACAATCACCTTTTTCTACCAGGCTCTCGCCTACAAAGGACAGAAATGTCTGTGAGAGGAGTGAAGTAGAAATGGGGAAATGTATCCCCTCAGGGGATTGAGGATTCCTTTTCAAAGCTGCTGTTGAATAACTAGACCTTCCGCGTTGTCTTGCCTCTTGGTTTGTCTTTCTTCTTTAGGGGAGAGAACTACAATTGGGTTTCTTTGAGGATGCTCCAAGGCTCCCCAAGAGGCTGCCAGTTATTTGAGGTTTGGATAATAGCTGCAGTGCAATGAGTATCTTGTCCCAGTCACTTTATCAGGAACTGTACTTGGAGTGCTTTGTTTTTCTCTCAAAGTGGAAAAATCCAGTTTTGGTGATTATAAAATAATCAGTGTTAATTTTTGAAAATTTGAAACCGTATGGATATATATCAATTAGAATCATGAAAGTTTCTTGTAATTCTTCTACAGAGAGAACTACTGTGAACAGTTTATTTCCAGATGTTCTTTTTTCCTCCAGAAATATCTTAATGGATACTTGTTGCTTAAAACAATGAGTATTGTTTGTGCCACAGATTATTCTGAATGCTTAGAATCCATCAATGAACAAAACATTCTGTCCCGAGATCCCTGCCTTTGTGCCACTAGTCTCCCCTTGCAGGTGGGCAGGGAGGGTAGGGCATGAGGACTCCTGGCAGATGAGGCAGGTAGACCTATGGCTCAGTAGGGGAGAGCCTCTCAGGAGGTGGCATCTGCAAAAGCTGCAGGTGGTGCTGGGCAGTGGGGCAGGGATTGCTGACCAAGCTCACTCTGACACTGACCTTGACCCTCACCTTGACCATGACCCTGTTACACTTAACCCTAACCCTCACATACCCTGATCCCTGACCTTGACTCTGATTCTACCCTAAGCTTTACCCTCTAACAGTAATGCTCTCTCGAACTCTACCCACAGCTTGGCCTTCCCTCAACCTCACTCTTACCTGAGGGTGTTACCCGGACCCTCCCCTGATCCTGTCTGACTCTGACACTGACTTTGGCTACATCCCTCATAGAACCCTTTCAGTCAGAACTTCACTCTGAAAATATCATCCTGATTATCTGACCCTTTCAGGACGCTGACTATGACCTTATCCTAACTTTAATACTGATGCTTGCTTGGACTCTGACCATCCCACCCAGACTGTTATCATGACCTTGACCATAAAATTAGCAGTCATTTAAATTTGACCCTAATCCTGATTTTCTCTCATTGATAAACTGGACTCTGACTTGACCCTGAAACACAACCATCACCCAGACTCTGTATCTCACCCAGATCTGACCCTACTCTTAACTCTGCCCTTGACCCTGATTCTAACACTCAACAACTCTGGATTGATTTGGACTGATTGTCATCCAGGCCCTGAGACACCCTAATGCCCTGCTGATAAAACTCAACCTAACCTGACTCTGACTCTCACTCTGACCCTTCTGACCTTCACTTACCACTGACCCCGACCCTCTTGCTGATTCTCACCATAACACTGACCTTGACCCTTCCCCTAACAGTGATCTGACTGAACCTCAGCTGGACTTGATCATGTTCCTGACCCTCATGACCCTGATTCGCCCACTACTGGTCATGAAACTGCACTTCACCCTGACCCAACCCTGAACCTTTCTCAAATCCTTTACTGACTCAGGCCCTTATCCTGCCCCAGACCGTGACTCTGATGTGCAGCCTTGCTTTGATGTTCACCCTATAGACTCGCCCAGATCTTGACCCTGATCCATTTTTTAATTGAAATATATTTGACATATAACATTGTGTAAATTTAAGGTGTGCATGTTGATACATTTATATATCTTAATACATTATATATCATATGATTGCAACACTGAACACTTCTATCATATTGCAAAATT